CTCTGGGTTCCAAGGTTGTTACCAGGTGGGATTACTGTTTTGTTTTTTTCTTTTTTTTCTTTTCTAAGGTTTAAGGAAAAAAGAACTTATTTCTAAATAGCAATAATCTATATACATATATAATGTATAATAATAGAAATGTGACTGTATTTTACTTAGGTCACTTTGTAAAGACCAAAGGTCAGTTTTGTATTATTGGATATGGTAACATAAGTGCATGTGAGCCTCGTTCATTGTAACTTCTGTATTGTTAGCCTGGAATGACTGATAGGTCAATATAATAAAAATAATAAATATATATATAAATGTATAATGTTATGAGCTATTTAGTCTAAACATTTCTGTTTTCGTGTTATAATTTGTAGTCATTCTAGAAGGAAAAAGGCATAATTTATATTTATTTCATAATATTTTAACGTGGTTACGAGATCGATCAAATTGACCAAACCCGTACAGAATCGTTATTGAAAATAACAGATAAAATAGATAATTTTTTTTAAGAAATGTTTGATAACTATCTGGACATTATAAAGATTTAAAATTTTCTGATGCACAAAAGTATTTTTAATCTTAAAATGAAAAAAAAATGCATGAGCAAAACAATGATTTACAAACCTTAAGACTTAATAAAAAAAAATTGATATTTTGCATATGAAAGCATTGTATTGTTTACTGATAATCTGCCAAGTTTTGTTAACATACACTTACTATTTTAAAAGCTACAGCATGAAAACTATAACAAGCACAAAATGGTTACAAGGTCGGTTCATACTATGTCTATTCTGCCTAAAGTTTCTCTGAAAGAATGTACTCAGTAACTTACAGGCATTTTAATCCAAAATGTAAGCTGAATTTCTGTATTTTATTATAGTTATGAAAGCAAAGGAAAACAGTGGGCCAAAAGTAAACCAGCCTTTCCTCCAGGTCTTCATCCTGAAGAAGTAGCTAAGACACAACAAGCTCAATCAGGTGCAAACCAAATACCAGGACTGACAGGAACACCAACACCTAATGTTTCAAAATCAAGTAAAAAGAAGAAGAAGAAGAAGCAACAGCAAGAGGTTAAAACTATTGACCAGAATTTAACAGAAGATGTTACCAAGCTTCACATATGTGAAACTGGTTTGGATAGGAACAATGAATCTAGTGAGAATAAAACCTGCCAAGAAACATTCAGTGACCCAGCAAAGAGGATTAAAAACTTAAAAAAAAAGTTAAGGGAGATTGTAAAACTTGAGCAAAAAATAGAGTCAGGTGAAATTACTAACCCTGAAAAAGATCAGTTAGAAAAAATTGCTAGAAAAGGAGAGATTGAAGCTGAAATAGAAGATCTGGAACTAGACCTAGAACTTCAAGACAGTTAACTGACTTAGCCAGTACAACACTGAATAGGTAACACTTTGTACAAAAAAGAAATAAAGAACTGGAAGGTGTAAAACCATCAGTAATGTTAAAATTTCTATTAATCACTATGAAAGGTTTTAACTGTAGGACAGAAAGGTCTTTTTATTATTATTCTTATCAATGTTCTATTGAGGTTAATTTGATTGCACTGCACAACTTAATATTTTGAGTGAATTTATATAATAAATACTTTTGAGTTTCATGATTTAAATTTCAAAGAAGTTCTAGTTATATCAGCTGTGAAAGTAATGTTGATGGCATTCTAACAACTCAACTTATTTTTAAATATTTGGCCAAACATCCACAAACAAATTCAAAATCATATGCACAGCATACACTTTAATTAATAAAAATGCACACTCATTCGAGTTTTTGAAAATTTATTAGCTCCATTAAACAATAATCGGGGACTATTTGGTAGTCTGGGTTTAATTTGAAATTAGAGGGGGGAGGGATCATCCTTGAAAGCAATACAAATAATATTAGAAAGAAAAGGATAATTCAGCAAAACATACTCATTTTAAAGTATAAAACCAATCACTATTTGCACAATTTTTGGCAAGGTATTTGGCACTTAAGTTCATATGAACTTGTTTACTGTCATAGTTATAGGTAAACAACTATTCCAATGCCAGGTTTATTTTTAGATACATGATAAACACAAAAAAAAAAAAGATGTTGTAATATTTTTATTGCTTATCTAAAACTTGAAACTGATATGTTTTGGGAAGATATAAAATCAAAAATTCCCATAGCACTGTTCTAGAGTGTGTCATATACATATATTCCATTGGCAGTGAAATAATTAAAATTAATGTTTTATTTTCTTCTAATAGCTGAGTGTAAAGAAAATTAACACAAAATCATTTACTATAATTTCTTACCTTTTTACGTAGGAAAAAAATTCAATTGTAACTTGCTACATTAATAAATTCATTTTGGCATATACTGTAGAAGATGTTGAATATAGTAAATGGGTTTTAATGCATAGAAAAGTATTAATATGTTGCAGACAAATGTCTTTTTTTAGCAAATTGAATTTGTTGTTATATTTAGGCCAGTTATTTAATGGCTGGATATTACTGAGTTTTGAAACATTGATATGATCTGTCAGAGCATACAGTTGGCCTAAGTTTTATTATTCTAAGATGAAGGTCTGTCAAAAGGAGGTAATAAAAGCTGTAAAAGAAATATTAATTAGTCTCAGTGTATTTATAAATAAGCAGGGTTCATCACACTTTATAAGAATAATTTGCATATTTTAACATGGTGTGTTGCTGCAGATGTAAGCCATGGCCCATAATTGTTATATTTTTGACACCTACATATGTGATTCATGGTGCATTTTCAACTATATGACAGTGCAGTGGCACCATGAGTACTATTATGGCTGCAGGAATGTGTCACATTACCTCCTAAGGGCTTCTTTCCTCCAAAACAACACTTCAATCCAACATAGAGCAATGCCATCATAAGGAGAGTGAAAGCTATGATTATGAAAGAGAACCCTCTATTCCAAAAAGGCATGGCCAGGTGGTTAGGATGCTCGACTCGTAATCTGAGGATTGAGGGTTCAAATCCCCATCCCACCAACATGCTTGCCCTTTCAGCCATGGGGGCATTATAATGTGATGTTCAATCCCACTATTCGTTGGTATAAGAGTAGCCCAAGAGTTGGTGGTGCGTGGTGATGACTAGCTGCCTTCTCTCTCTAGTTTTACACTGCTAAATTGTAGATGCTTAGCATAGATAGCCCCTCGTGTAGCTTTACACGAAATTCAAAACAAACAATGTCTCCTAGTACTGTTAAGAAGGTAAACAAGAATTTGAAGTTGATGAAGGTTCACAAGCCAAAGTTCTCAATCATCAGCAGCTGATTTCATGAGAAAGGTGGCTGAAGGAACAACAAACCTGTTTAACCACATTTGTTAAGTCCTCCAATGTACATGAAGCTCCAATAGGCTTTTTGTACTCAAATGATAATAAGAGCCAATGTCCACACATAGTAGAGGACCTATGGAAAGTTGTTAATTAGTATGATTTAAGGGTGACCTTACTGTCCTTTAAAACAAATGAAAAATATTTTGGAAAATAATGCTTAATCTTAACCATCAGGTTGATCATGAAAAGCAGTGGAGGAAGCAGTAGTGTTTGGAAAAGGCTTGAATTCCAAGGGCAGCAGCACCTGAAACAGTTTTTATAAAGTGTGATCAACCCTCATTACATTTTATTCAGGTATTATAATGTTAAAAGTTTTTTTTTTGTTTTGTTTTTCAGATACCAGAAAATTGGAGATAAAGAAACAGGTACAAACTTTGTGATTTTCAAAATTACTTTGGAAAAAAAATTGAATACTTCAAATACTGAGGTTCCCATTATATTTATTTTCTTTTTAGTTAAATCATAGGCATGAACTGTTCTTCATAAATAATTTTTAAATACACTGGTTTATCACCAGTTAATCATATTGCATATTTAAACATCTCACCATGTTTTATTACAAATTCAAATACTTTAACATCAGTTTTCTCTGAAAAGGATGCTCTTTTAAACAACAAGACTCTTGAGTTGTTAATTGAGACAGAGTTTACTTAAAGTCATTTCTTAAGATATACTTAAAATTACTTAACAGTAAATAATTCACAAGATATGAAAACAAGGCTGTATGTAAACAGTAATATATGATGTATTAATGGCATCACATACAACAGCCAGATATTCCAAAATACACCTACCTCCTCTCACACTTTAGCTTTTTCCTGATGAAATGTTCTCTTCTTTGTCCATCTAAGCATTGGTACAAATTTTACCTCACTTGCTCCAGTCTTTGTACTCCAGTATATCGTCCCTAGTGACTTTAGTGAAGAAGAACAAAAGGCAACAAACTAAACTCAGAATTACAGGCCCAGGCACCCAACCTGAAAGTTCCAGAATGTTGTATGCGAGCCACCAGAATTACTAAGGAAAGGCAAGCAACATCCAACTGGATAAGTCTTCCTCTCAACATGCAACACCCTGTAACTTTCAGGTTGGGTTCCCTTCATATCATATTTCTATCATACAGTTATATCATATTGTGTTCCCCATGTCCTAGGCACTACACCTTGGATCTAGCTTTGCATGCACAGCCCTATAATTCCAACAGCGAGATGTGGAACCTCATCTGTGTGGTTGGACCCTGGACGAATCTCATGATAATGAAGAATGTTGACTCTGTAGCCAGTTGGCCTTTACAGCCCGTGTTTAGATTTCATTTTATATGGGCAAAGACCATACGTGTTCCAGAAGTTGTGCAAACCCCCTCTTTATTATATCTCAATTTTGCACACCTATTTTTTTATGCAGACGCTTTCTGTGTAGATCTTGCCCTCACCGGCACCTCTACCTGGTCAGTGTAGGATTCTAGCTAAAGTGTGTTTCGGAAGTTTACATTTTCCTATACCAAAATTATAGTTCTAATAATACTTACCTCCTCTCACACTATTCCACCCTTCCTTCCCACAGGTCTGGCATGGCCAGGTGATTAGGATGCTCGACTTGCAATCTGAGAATCGCAGGTTTGATTCCCCATCCCACCAAACATGCTCGCCCTTTCAGCCATGGGGGTGTTATAATGTGACGATCATTCCCACTATTTATTGGTAAAAGAGTTGATGGTGGGTGGGGATGACATTCTGTCTTCCCTCTAGTCTTACACTGCTAAGTTAGGGACAGCTAGTGCAGGTAGCTCTCTTGCAGCTTTGCATGAAGTTCAAAACAAACCAAACCAATCCTCCCCACGATAGCTGGAGTTCGGATCTGATAATCTTGCTAGTCTCAAAAAAGTAAATAAGAAAGAATAACATGGAGCTTTTATGTGGATCAGGTATAGAGGGTGCATTGACATAGGTAGAGAGTCACAAGATTAAAATCACTAGGGGCAATATAGTAGGGTATAAAGACTGGAGCAATTGAGGTAGAATGCTTATATGGGTAAAGAAGAGAACTCTTCCTCGGAATAAAGCTAAAGGGTGAACGGAGGTAAGTATTATCAGAAATACATTTTTGGTATAGGAAAATGTAAACTTTGGTTTGTAATAAGAGATCTTAAATCAGTTTTTTCCCTCCAAATTTAGCAGAACTTGGTTTTTATGCAGATCTACAAGAGCTCAATAATTTGTTATTCTGTTAAGGATTTGATAATCATTTGTAGACAAAATAAGTTATTGAAAGTTATTAAAGCATGATTGTGTTTTGGAAGAATAAAAATGCCCAGAATTATATAAGTCATCTTTTTAAACAATGAAATATCTATTGCATGTTCAAAAGGTGTGTAATTATACAAGGACATGTGTTCTTAATTAATATGGCATCTTTTTGTAACTTGTTCTTTTCACCATAGGGGTTTAAGTTTTAATGTGTTCAATTTACATCTAGATATATATTTTAGAAATAAACTTACTGAAAATTTAAAAAAGTATGATGGATTTGAAAGAAGTAACAAATATGTTTCTTTAGATGCCCAAATACTTAATTAGTGTAAAATACAAAATTAACTACCAAGTCTAACATGCATAGGACATAAAACTAAAAAAAAATAAATTCAACTTACATTTGAAACTACTAGTTTTTGTTGGGGAAATATTAAGTGATCTGTCCTTTTTAAAGCATTGAAACTTATATGGGGAGATCAAAATAAGAATTTGTATGATGAATACAAGTTCAGTCTATTCACCTTATCAGAATAGTCTGTATTCATCATGTGAAATTATGCATAAATGGAAAGTAAGTTTTAGTGATATTCAGTTATCTCATTTTTATGCATCAGTTTTCATGTATAATGTATTTAACAAGCAATAAAAAATAACCTTATTTCATAAGATACAAATATATTAAATGTTTTTAAATAATAACATGTATACCATATTGAAATATAATGTATGATTATATTCGAAAATAAACCAAAAGGTACTAGCAGCTCTGAATTCATAAAGCAGTTTCTGTATTTTATTCTTTCATTTTCAGTAATTACATTAAAGGTAGAAGTACATAAATGTGAATTTTCTTGTTGATTTTTTGTGATTACTTTTCTATACATTAAAGTATTTTAAGTAAAAGGTTTTGCAAAAAGTCTTCCATTTTTAGTGAAGTGATTTTTTAACTTGTATCTTTCGTGAAAGTAGTGTTTATTTTCATTGAAATGTGTGTGTATTATTTCCTAAAGGGCACGTGGTAAGGTCTGTGTATTTACACAAATCATAAGTTAATATCAGTAAAATTAATGAGCTGTTTTATGTTCAATTAAAAAGGCTATTATTTAAATCAAGAAAATGATGAGCTGCATGTTTTAATTCTTAAAATATTTACCTTTGATAGACTTGAAATTCAGCAACAAAATATAGCCAAAAATATAAGTATATGAAGGTTTTTTTTTACCTTATATGAAGAAATGAATTCATTACTTCTACTGCCAATTCCTGTGTAATTACTATTTATAACATAATTTCATTTCATTTACAAAAGTGTAGGTTGATTATGGTGTCCTAACTTTTCCAATGTCGTAATCAAGTTTTTAAAATAAATATTCTTAGGTTTTCTAAAACTTTTACAGAGGTTTGAGTACATTATATTAAAACAATTTTGAATACTTAAATCAGCAAGTCACATGCCAGCTACAGCCAATATAAGGTCACAGTGGAACAACCTTTATCAGAACTACGTACGAACCCTTTCTGATGCAAAATATACCTACATTCAGATCATAAAGATTTTTTCAGAACAAGGACTTAGAATTTTGAAGACAGGGATATTTCTTATTCTTAATGGCATTGGAAAACATAGGAATATAGAACAATTTAGGGAACCGGTATCATCCAGAAAAAGAGCTGCAACAAATCATACAGCAGCCCTGGTAAGCAAAGTGAAAGGTCTTGTAACAGGTGAGAATCCACAAATGCAAAGATAGTAGCAAACTCTGTGTGCTCCAGGCAACAGTACACAACATAATCAAGAAGGATCTCCATCTGGAAAGGTGACAAAAATAATGTGTACACAACTTGTTTCCATAACAAATCCATTTAACCATTGCATACCTCAAGCAGCTGGAAAGTGAAATGGGAATTCATGCTATTCCATATGAAGACATACTTATCCAGTCTCCAGAAACATGGTGCCTATGGATTTCTTTGTGGTCAGACTGTTGAAATAAATACTTGGAAACCAGGGAGGAGTTGTGCTTTGGACATGACATCCTTACGATGGAACATTTTGCAAGATTATTGTTAAGATCCATGGTTACCAGAACATGATTGGTCATGGCAAGGCTTTAAAATTGTTTTAACATATCATAATAACCTCTGTAGATGATTTGAAAAGTTAGACATGGCATGGATAAATTGAACATCTTCGGGTTTCACTGTTCGTATCTACATTTAATTTTGTTCCATACGAAAGAATGACAATTGTGTATTTTTATTATTATTTTTTGTAATCTTGTTCTACAAAAGAAAATCAACCATACTAGTATATTTTACTTAAGTTGGCAATATTATGATATTTAATTTAAGAAGGATGAACTTAAACAGTTGCAAATCTTTTTTTTTTTTAAATATCCCTCTTTCTAGATTTCAGTAGCTTTGAGTAAAGATGTGTCTTGTTGAAATTTTATTGTTTTAGGTTTTAGTAATATGTGACTAAAATAAAATGGTTAGCAGTATTCTTTCATGTGTACATGTGTAATATTTATAATGTATTTACATTCTAACAAACTGTTATCTCTTGATTTGCCAGCATTGGAATCTGTTTATGTAAATAAAATCAAACATACCTTTATAAGTTATGATTAAGTCTTTAATTTCGTTTCATGTGTCATGTATGGCATATACATGTATACAGATTTTATTAACAGTATTGGCCCAGCATGGCCAGGTGTTTAGGGTGTTCAACTCGCAATCTGAGGGTCGCAGGTTCGAATCCCCGTTACACCAAACATGCTT